ACAGGAGCAGATCGCCAGGCCTGTTCTCCTGTGGAGAAGCTGGTGGGTTTGAACTGCCAACCTTCTGGTTAGCAGCTGAGCGTTTAACCATTACACCACCAGGGCTCCTTTTGAAGAACTAAAGCCCTAAACAAATTGTAATATTGCTTTATATTAGTTAGGACAGAGTCTTTAGTATATTTTGTTTTATATCTTCTAAACTATGAACACTCAATTAATATATAATTGACAATCTAAGTGGCATTTCTTTAAAAAAAGTCAGGTTGCCTTCCACATGGGGAATATTCTATAGGACTGTTGTTGTTAGGTGCTGTAGAGTCAATTTGACTCACATCGACCCCATGTGACAGAGTAGAACTGCCCCATAGGGTTTTCTAGGCTGTAATCTTTACAGGGAGCCCTGGTGGCACAGTGGTTAAGCGAAAGGTCAGTGGTTCGAACCTGCCAGCTGTTCTGCAGGAGAATGATGTGGCAGTCTGCTTCTGTAAAGATTCATGGCCTTGGAAACCCTATGGGGCAGTTCTACTCTGTCCTATAGGGTCGCTCGGAGTTGGAATCAATTCAACGGTAATGGTCTTTTTTAAAAAAATCTTTATGGGAGCAGATCGCCAGGTCTTTCTCCCACAGAGCTGCTGGGCGGGTTCGAACCACCAATCTTTTGGTTAGCAGCCAAGTGCTTAACAGTTGGGCCACCAGAGCTCTTTATAGGACGGTTAGATATTTGTAATTTCAAAGGAATAAACACTGCATGCTCTCAAACATGTATGTGATATAGGACAAATAGTTTCTTCCATTTTTTTTTTTTTAATAATTTTTTCAAGTAAACACTTTCTAAAAGTCATCTAGAACTGATAGCTAGAATAAAACAATGTAAATTTGTAACTGGGTCATGATCAACGATAGCTACAAAGAGGTGATTTTTTTGGTTTTACCATATCATAATCATAGAATTGGTTAGTGGAAAGTTTGGGTATTTGGAAAAAGACAACCAGAACTTGACTTGGAATTTTTCTTTTTAATTGATCATGCTCCTAATTTTGGACCAACATATGGGTTCTGTATTTTCAAAATGTTTAAGACCTGTCTCACTCAATGTCTAACCCTTGACAACAGAAAACCCGTATTTTAAAGCTCTTTCAAAAAAAAAAAGAAAACAAAAACAAAAAGCTCATTTTAACCTATTGTCTTTAACACAGGGTACAATGCACAAGAACAAATAAAACTACCAGGCGATTATGTCTCAGTGTCTACAGACATAATGAAATGCTCTCCTCCCTGCCCCTGCCCCCCAAGCCTCCCCTCTTCCCTCACCTGTAGCTAACACCACTTGGGCCTGGGTCATTGGTGACTACTGTATTATGCTTACTGAGTGGTTCTTTGGACCTTGGCCATGAATATCTTCAAAGCTTTGAAAGATAAACACCTTTAAATTGATAACATAAATTACACAGCCTCAGGTAGTCACTGTTTTCAAGAAAATTTCAAACTATGTCTAGAGGTTTTTATAATCAAGCCTTTGCTTTTGAAATTCAATGTCGCACGAGAAAGGGGCCCAGGGCTGGAGCCTTTAGTCTATTTTGACAGCACCCCTACTGTGAAGAATTTGAGGAAAACTTCAAATTGGATTGAAATGTTTAGCATGCACTTTAGCAAAGTGACTCTTCCTACCGTGGAATTTACTTTTCAGAAGCATGGAATGAAGCAAATGCTGAGGAAATTACATGGTTCTGTGTGAAGAAAATGGCTTTTTTTTTTTTCTTTGAAACTGTTTTCCAGAAGAAGGTGGTAACCCAAGAAGCTGATCAAATCAGTGAAGGAGAATCTTCTCTGTTCAGTAAAAGGCAAATGGAACTTTTCGACTCCAGCATGGTGTTAAGAAGTTCATTGTCAGACAATTCTTCCTTCTCAGCTCCCAGGGCACAGCCTGGTGTATTTCTCGGGAGATGGCCAGCTGGACAGACACCAGTTCTCCATAAGTCCTTCCTACACGCTCCTTTTTAGGCAGTCCAAGCCGCCGTGCTATTTATGATCGCAGAGTCCTTTCCTAGTGCCCGGCTGGGACCTGCTCTGCCTTCTGGACTCCAGAACGACAGACAGTGAAAAACGCCTTTCTAGGGGGCTGTTTGATGGCAAATGTTAATTTTTCCCCTGTGCTAATGCTTTACCATATCTGGCTTTTAAAACTAGAAATGCTCAGAAATGTTATCAGTGTTTCAGGGACTTAAGGTTCTTTTGACAAATGCTGCGGGGAGGATTTTCTTCAAGCTCGTTC